AATTACTTGGGCATGGTGGTGTGCACCTGTAGTCCCAGCTACTTGAAAGGTTGAGGTAGGAGGATTTTCTGAGCCCAGGAGATTGAGGCTGCAGTGAGTTGTGATCGTGGCACTGCACTCCAGCCTGGGCCAGAGTGAGACCCCTGACTACAGAAAATAAAAATACACAACAGCAACCCCCAAAAAACCACTTGAAATGGATTTTCTTTCTTTTTTTTTTGGAGTTGGAATCTCACTCTGTCACTCAGACTGGAGTGCCATGGCCACTCCCGGCCACCGCAGCCTCGACCTGCTGGGCTGGTGCGATCCTTCCGCCTCAGCCTTCCGAGTAGCCGGAACTACAGGCATGCGCTACCACACCCGGCTTATTTTTGATTTATTGTAGAGATGAGGTCTCACCTGCCCAGGCGGGTCTCGAACCCGCGGGCTCAGGCAATCCACTCACCTCAGTCTCCCAAAGCGTGGGATTACAGGCTGAACCACTGAGCCCAGCTGAAACGGATTTTCAGGGGTGCAGGCTTTGTGCCCACCCTTGAGAGCATTTAAGAGCCCGACCTGCCAGCGGCTGCTGAACTCTGTGAGCTAGGGGCTGATTTGGAATGACCCTGGGGGACTTGGCATTTAGAAGGAAACTAAGACACGCACACAGAAAGATCCACTCCCAAGGCAGAGGATCATTCTGCTAATTGGTCTCTGGTGGGAACACCAGAGTGGCTGTTTGGTGTTTGTTTTTGCGGGCTGGATTTGATGAAAGAGGCGAACTGTAACCCCAGGGGGGCTGGGATGGCAAGACACCGAAGGGCTTGTTCCTGGGCCTCCAGGTCACCCCCTCCATCTGGGTCCCCGGGCTGGGGTGAGGCGGGACAGCAGGGCGCTTCTGGGTCTCAAGTGTGTGGCTCACGTGGTGACCGAGGAAGGTGGGCAGAGGGGACCGGGGACACGTCACGCCCAGGGGTGGCCGCCGGGAGGCTCCACAGAGGGCAAAATCCACCGCCCAGGGACGGCCAGTGTGGGGCACTGTGTGGACAGGGTGTGGGGCCGCCATCACCCCAGCCTCTGCAGCTACCTCCTGAGCCCTGGAGCCCCGAGGGTTGCGGCTGACTCTGCCTCAGAGGCAGGGCTGGAGACACGGGGAGAGAACGGGGGGAGAGAAAGGGGGAGGGGACCGGTCCCAGCCCTTCTCGTCCTGGCTCTGTCCACCAGAAGACCACCCTCAGTCAGAACAGGACCAGGTCCCCCAGCCAGGCTGAGGGCGGAGTGTCGGCTCTTCCAAGACTCGGGCCCAGGGGAGGCTCCCATCACCCACAGACACAGGCCAGGGGGTGAGGGGAGTGAAGGGGGCGGGGAAGAAACAGAGAGATGGAGACACAGAGATGGAGAGACAGAGACAGACAGAGAGAGAGAGAGAGAGAGACAAAGACAAAGACACACAGAGAGACACACACAGAGATGGAGAGACAGACAGAGAGGGGAGACAGAGAGAGACAGAGAGACAGACAGATAGGCAGAGAAAGAGAATGAAAGGGGGGAGAGAGGGACAGAGACAGAGACAGAGACAGAGACAGACAGGAAATGAAGAGAGACAGAGACAGACAGAGAGACAAAGAGATAGAGAGACAGAAATACAAAGAGAGAGAGACAGAGACAGAGAGATGGAGAGAAAGAGAGAGGCAAGGAGCGACACACAGACAGAGAAACAGAGATCGTGACAGAGAGACAGGCAGAGAGACAGACAAAGAGGGAGAGAGACACAGAGCGACAGAGAGAAACAGAGACAGATACAGAGTGTGAGATAGAGAATGAGACAGAGACAGGCAGAAGACAGAGACACACAGTGAGAGACAGAAACACACAGAGACAGAGAGAGACACAGAGAGACAGAGACACACACAGAGAGAGAAAGGGAGGAAGAGAGAGTGAAAGAAAGAGAAGGGGGGTAAAAGTAGGGAGAAGGCAGAAGGAGACAGAGAAAGGGAGGGAGGGGAAAGAGGAAAACGGGTCGAGGCAGGGCAGGCAAGGGGTGGGGTGGAACCCCAGATGGCTCTTCCCAGGGGAGGCAGATTCCCTCCTGGCTGAGGGTGGGCTGTCCTGGCTTTTCAGAATCGATATCTCCTCAGGGACAGCCCGGGCCCATGCACACCTGGAAGGGCTGCTTAAGCAGGCGTGGAGGGAGAGTGCAGCAAATTTCATTACATGCTCACAGACACTATGTAGTGTGCCTAAAGCACTGTTGTAGTTTATAGGAAACAAGCGGTATCTTTTTTTTTTTAATTTCCCTGAATTCCAACAAGGTTGACTCCTCCCGTTTTTATTAGTTTTCAGCATTCTATGGAGTTTCTGTTTATATTATTTGTCCACGTATCTACGGGGGTGTAGTGTTTCTTATTGATTCGTAACTGCTTTTTATATTTTGAGGACAAGGACTCCTTGTCTTATTTGTGACAATCTTTCTCCCCTAAGTTGCTGTGCATATTATTTTTTATTTTTATTTTTTGAGTTGGAGTCTCACTCAGTCGCCCAGACTGGAGTGCAGTGGCCACTCCCAGCCACCGCAGCCTCGACCTGCTGGGCTCCGGCGATCCTTCCACCTCAGCCTTCCGAGTAGCTGGAATTACAGGCGCGTGCTACCACGCCCCGCTGATTTTTTGATTTATTGTAGAGATGAGGTCTCGCTGCCCAGACGGGTCTCGAACCCACGGGCTCAGGCAATCCACTCAACTCAGGCTCCCAAAGGTGCAGGATTACAGGCTGAGCCACGAACCCGGCTCATTTTGTTTTAATTAATTCAAATTTTTAACCTACAGAACATCTTAATAATAGTGTGGCCAAACCTCATTTAAAAAAAATACTTATCACTTTATTAAAATTATTCACACTGCATTAATCATACAAAATATATTTTATATGCTTATGTACAAAATATATATTTATATAAAATACAAGATGTTCTAAATGGTTATTCATTTAAATTTTTTTTTTTTTTTGAGCTGGAGTCCCACTCTGTCGCTCAGACTGGAGTGCAGTGGCTGCTCCCGGCCACCGCAGCCTCTACCTGCTGGGCTCCGGCGATCCTTCTGCCTCAGCCTTCCAAGTAGCTGGAAATACAGGTGCGCACTACCACGCCCGGCTAATTTTTTGATTTATTGTAGAGATGAGGTCTTGCCAAGTTGCCCAGGCGGGTCTCGAACCCGTGGGCTTAGGCAATCTGCTCACCTCAGCCTCCCAAAGTGCTGGGATTACAGGCTGAGCCACCGAGCCTGGCCTGTTCATTTAATTTTAAAACTCTCTTCTATTGCTGTAATAGTCAAGTAAGTAATCAAATAAATATATATTTGATTATTTACATATATATAAATACGTATATGTATATAAATTAAATGAACAACGATTTAGAATGTCATATTTTATATAAATACATATTTTGTGTGTGTGTATATATATATATATATATACACACACATATATAATACATATATATGTTGTTTTTTTTTTTAAGTCAGAGCCTTACTCTGTTGCCCAGGCTGGAGTGCAGTGGCTTGATCACAGCTCACTGCAGTCTCGACCTCCTGGGCTCAGACAATCCTCCTGCCTCAGCCTCCTGAGTCGGCCTCAAATACTTTAAGAAGAAGAAAAGGATGGAAGGATGGGGAAGGAGAAGAGGAGAAAGAGAAAGAAAAGGAGAGAGGGTAGACAAGAGGAGAAAAGAAAAATACGGCCACCCCAGCCTTCCTGACGTCCCCCAGCTCTGACATCCATGAACTCTGAAGACACCGCGTTCTAACGCACTGGTCCTTGCTGTGTTCCCACAGGAGAACTTGAGTGTGGCCCGTCTAGCCCTCAGTGGAAATGGCCACCACTCGGCCCCTCCTGACAAGTCGAGCCCTGGCTGCTTGGTCAAGGAGGCCACTCAAGGACCCCCAGATCTGTTGAGAGGGCAGCCAGGGGGCAGGACACAGGGGACACTCCTGTCCTCACCGTGGGGGTGAGGCGGAATGGGTCCCTCTGAGACTTTTAGGGAGTGGTCCACAGGCATCCTCAAGACTTGCTTCTGGACCCGAGGCTGGGCAGGCCTTTTCCTCCTGCTCCAAGTGACTACAACTTGAGGCATGTGCTGCCAACTCTGCTGTCAGGGCCTTGGCACACCCCCAGGGCACCCTGGCACAAGGCTAATGGCTGCTCAGCCCTTGAGGGCCATCTTGGAATGGTCTCCCAGGACTTGGGACCATCTTGAAATGGTTGCCTGGGACTCGGGGTCATCTTGGACTGGCCATCCAGAACGGAGGTACCATCTTGGGATCACTCCAAAGCCCCTGGGCACCATCTTGACACGGTTGACAGAACTTGGGTGCCATCTGGGAACGGCCACTCGGCCTTGGGCGCCCACCCTCTGGGAATGACCACTCAGCCCTTGGGTGCCACCTGGGAATAGCCGCCCACCAGTCGGGCGCCATCTTGGAGCTGCATGGCGATGCCTGGCCTTTCAGGGGACAGGGTGCCCCAGGGCTGCCAGGAGAAGGGACAGACACACAAGGAGAGCCACCGGGTCTCTCACAGTGGG